GAGTCTTTGAGCGGCAGTGAACCAATGACTATGGCGATTAGATGTACTCATGTCTGATATGTAGTGTCGGATTAAGCGAGTGCGGGGCCTGTAGCATATGCTATGAAGGGGCCCTAAATAAAAAAAACACGTAAATATTAAAACACGTAAATATTTTACTTGCATAGTAAAGTGATTGTATTTTTTCACTTGCTATACAGCCAGATAATACGACAAATCGCTAACCTTAAACACCCAGTCGTCCATAAAAGTTGAAGGCAGTATAGTACTATAGTAATAGAGCAAGTGCAGAATCACTGAACCGGAATTGAAAGCTTGAAAGCGTTTATGCGCGAGCCCTTGAAGTGCGGGGTCCGTAGCATATGCAGCTACTTTTGCTACGAGGATCATCCGGCACTGCTGATGTGGCTATTGTTCACAATTGCACGCAATGCAAAGACAAATTTGAGTGCTGGAGCCGGTGGAGAGGAGGGGAGGGGAAGAGTGATAGTGATGACAATGAGAGGCATAATGATTAACATCACGGGGTGGGTGAGCCAGGGTGGGTGAGTTTTAGTAAAAATATTCTGGCGAGCGTGACCTCCACTCGGACCCGGTGTGTGGGTGACATAGTCGTGTTGATGTTTGTTGTTTAATCTGGCAAGTGTTGAATGATGAGTGCCTCTCTGAGAATGAGGCGTCGTGGACAGGTGTATGCACGTGCAGCTAGGGCAGATATTGACAAAATAAAGCAGTTATAGTTCACCCAAAGTAAAACCCCAAATGTCATGGACCCATTATGTCACATGGTGACGATGTCGTACGTTGCTTCCTCTTAGTACCCTTCACGCGACGGTCAATGGTATTGTGTATAGCAGATTGTATAATAATAAATAGTATAAAAGTGTAATGTTTAATATAATGTATAAGGTAATATATAGTATCGTAATTGTATGGTTAAAATGCAGCAGTGTGGTATACAGTAGTGACTAATCCCATATCTGCATTTTCCATAAATATGCTACATTCCTCTGTTGATATGCAAATTCATTTGTCAAGGCGCTCTTCCTCCCCTAACCCAGTTTAAATATACGCTGCCAAGCTTGGTGGTGCTCATTCAGACGCTGTGTTTCCGACAGCCCTGTTCTTCACCTGAGGACGGCTGCTTGCGTTGTGGCCGAAACGTCGTGAGAATTGTATATTATTATGTTTTATTTCTATTATTTTATTATTTCCCTTCTACGTGACTTTACCGAAAGAACCAAGAAAATGTCGTACGGTTGAGTATCAAGTACGGTCTTGACATAAAGTTTTGGCGTCCAGTCAAGAGCTCCGGCAGATGTGGAGTGACTTTCAGTGATGTGTCTTGAGATGATTATTCTCTAACTAACGCCGTTGCTGAGCGCAGGCCAGCAACAAGCAGCACGATCACAGTTGTACTACATACAGGGTGGGACATACGTAATTACCTGATTCGTTTTGCCTAAAACTTTTTTGGACTGACTCGATGGGATCGTGTCATGAACGAAGACGTTCGGAAGCGACTTGGTGTGGCCCCCATTGCGGACAAGATGCTTGAGGCAAGGCTTCGGTGGTACGGCCGTGTGATGCGAAGTGAAGAGTCATCAGTGGCCAAGACTGCCGTGCGTTTTGAGCCAGAGGGCCGCCGTCCACGCGGACGTCCGAAGAAGCGATGGATGGATCGAATAAAGGAAGACGTGAAGACGGTCAACGCATCCCCCGAAGATGCCCTGGACCGAGCCAAATGGAGAAGACAATGCCGAAAAGCGGACCCTGCGCCACAGCGGGAACATCGCTAGGAAGAAGAAATGTTGCCTAAAACTTTTGAAAAATGAAATACAAACACAAACTCTAAATGCTCGAAAAGTATTTAATTCATGGAGATTCGATACGATAATGGATGAAAAATAATATCTTGTCAATGACAGCCTGCGTTGCGTTGGCAAATCCGTGCTCTTTCAACGGCATTTGCCACCACTCTCCTCAATGAAAGCTCGCGAACGCTGTAGGTGGCTTTGATGGTCTCTGGCCTGACATTTTTGCTACCAGCTGAATGTTATATGGAAACGAATTCGAGTCCTGTACCAAGATTCGCCGCATCGACCGTCGTGCGATTCCACAATTGAGAGGAGCGTCTCTCCTCGTCGAAGTTTTGTGGTTCTCAGTGACCACTCGCCCTTAACTTGCTCAATAGAAGTCGGAGATCAACTGGCTCAAGGTCTGCCGACACTTTGTTCCTGATTCCCTCAAATCGGGAAATCAACGCCCGATTACAGTGCGGAGTTGGAGTCTTCAAATATCTGCGATAGTCTCTCTGTGTTGAAATAATTGAACATTTTTGTTCTAAAATGAATGTAAACTACTCTTGCACGCTGCTGAGGTGTATCCCGGTTCTACTTTCTTTCATGATTTGAAGCTTTCGTGACTGCAGGAATCCATACGCTTTGGTTCTTTCGGTAAATTCACGTAGGTATAACATAAAATAAATCACGACGTTTCGGGCGCAACACAAGCTTTTAAAACAGTCTGCATCAGCAGCAGGCCACGCTTTCCTACCTGATGACGGACGCTTGTGTTGCGCCCGAAACATCGTATTTATTTTACTTCTACTTTCTTTCTGCATTTTTTTTTTACAAAATGATTCAACACAACGTACCGCAATTTCAAATCAGGTAGTTACTTGTGGCCCACCCTGCATACCAGGAAATGAGCAAGGCTTTTATAATTGTCTTATTTATTTAACCAGCCTAACACCCAAATAACAGCATCCTTAACGACCAAACTGGGTATAGTAGAGCAGAGATTTCCATTTCGGGTGAGATTTGCGTAGGTCTAATACTGTACGACTCTTAAACGTCTTCATTTTGCGTTGTTTTTGTTGTTCTCAAGTCTGCCTGTAAATGCTGGTTCCCTATCAGGCGATTCTTGTGAAGGCTATGGGGCTCACAATAGCACGGTTGGCTACGTACGGTGCGAAAGAAGTTCAACATACATAACATACATACAATAGTCGCCGCCCTGTCTTTCATTGCAGTAAAATAAAAACAGTGGTAGTGGTCAGCCCTCTTCTCAACCCTTAACTCAACTTTAACAAAGGTTTACTTCCTTGTTGCATTCTTTGCTGATAGAAAAACATCTGCACACATTCCATTTCGAGCTATGAGACTAATCCACACATTTGTGGTCATTGGTGAACACAGGAACGCGGTACAATGCGGTTCCACGCGATGGAGAGAGTAGTTGGGGAACGTGCAAGGAAGATGGGATGGGCTGTTCTTGCTGTGGGTTTCCCACCTGATGATGATTGCTTGTGTTGCAATCGAAACGTCGTGATTTTATTTATTTTACACCTACGTGACTTTACCGAAAGAACCAAAGAGTATATTTATTTTACCAGGTTAAGGCCCACTTAGCTATGCAACTCTCTTTCACAAGTGACCTGGCTACACATGCTCGCTCAACCAAGTGACTTACCACGTGGAAATGTATAGCAACATACAAATACTCTCAAAGGCATGCTTGTAGTTTGAGGCATGCTTGTAGTTTGACGAGTCAAACGGGTTTGTTTTCTCAACACAGCGTGTGAACGGAATGGAGGAGGTCGAAAGTTGAAGCCGATCGGAGCCGGTTCACGTGGGGTAGGGGATCCACATGGTATATAGGCAGCAGCTTTCAAGCTACGAGGGTGGTAGGCAGCACTTTTCTAGCTGTAGCAACTGTGGGCACGGCATCAGCGTAGGAGCAAAATCAAGCAGAGTGGGAGGTGGGGGGCGCTTTGAGCGACCAACTGCATATCCGCCCCAAGCTGGAAGTCTGCCGATTCGTCTCTTGGTTGCGGTAAGCTTCGGTAAATCGGCACAATGAGACGGCGAGAGTTGACAGTGGAGGGGGGGGGGGGTGTCTCATTTCTGTTTTGCGCTGTGGGTTGAGGGAGAGGGAAGCTCTCGGTGGTGGTGGACCCAGCGGCCACTTGTGGAGAACGGGTGGGATGGAGGCGTCACGAAACTTGAAGTTCGATCCTCAACGGAGAACGTGGAATCCTTCTAGATTTGAAGTTTTCGTGACAGCAAGGATCCATACCATTTGGTTCTTTCAGTAAAGCCACGTAGGTAAAGACAATAAAATAAATTACATCACGACGTTACGGACACAACACAGGTGGGAAAACCACAACACAAAGCTTTTTGCTGTGGTTGTTTGTGTCCGAAACGTCGTGATTTAATTTATTTTATTTTCTTTGCCTACCTGACTTTACCGAAAGAACCAAAGAGAACGTGGAGACATTTTACTGTCGTGGTGGCAGCGCACCGCACTGCGCTTTGAGATTGCCGTGCCGTGTGCCGAGTGAGGTTGACCGGATGGTGTTTGCGGGATATGTGAGTGCGGCACCAGTCCGTGGGATTATAGTCGATTGGAGTACTCGAAGCGCGGTGCCACATCGCGACTGGTGTACGTATGTATGTTGAACTTATCTCACACTGACGTAGCCGATTGTGCTAAGCGGACGTACGGGGAAGGACAACAAACTAAATGCAAGAAGCAGTTCTAACGAAATGAGTTTCCAATCTCGATTTAAAAGTGCGTTGCTCCCAGCGGTTTCGAAATATTGGAAGGAAGAGCGTTCCAGACGGCCGCAGAAGCGCATCTGAAAGCGCGCGATGCGGTGACCGCCTTTGTTCGATGGTCAGCGAAAAGCGGCCGGTGCGAGAATGATCGGAGTTCGGGTGATGATGGTTTGTGCTCCTTGTCAACGTCAGCAAGGTAGTGTGTGGTCCATTCGTGGCGAGCGCTCTGCGTGTAAACGAGTGCGACCTCGCAACGCATTCGTTCGCCAATCGGAAGCCGATGGTGCGAATTGTCACCGTCGAGGACACTGCCGACTGCTTGAGAGAAAACCAAGTGGCGTTGCGGCGGTGGAGAGCATCGTCGGGTCAGAGGCGGCATGGTTCTCGAGGCGGTTTGGTGTCGTGCGCGCGTGGCCACTGACCCAGGAGCGGGGTTCCGTTCAGATCCATTCGAACCGCGGACGCGGCGCGAGGTGGCTAAGGGGGACGTGGCCGTTACCGAGCGCGCGGACATCGGAGCGCGTGAATGTCCCGTGTCGCATCGTTCGATTTGTTTGAACAAAGGGAACTGTTTTGAAATCCCCTTTTTAAGGCAATCGTCTGAATGCGCCTTTGATGATCGGCTCGCGTTTTAGGCGAGGCGGTGTTGTTCCCTATCGCTGTTGGGGATTTTTGTTTTGTTTTTGTTTTAAACTGGAGGATGTGTGATGCGTAATAGCGTCGCACGGGTAAGGGACGCGATGACATGCCGGGTGGGGAGGAATGAGTGATAGTAGTGATGTTGGCCATCCACCCTCCTCGACTGCCGTGCCGGCCTTAATAGGTGCTCGCTAACAGAACTTGCCCCAACAGTATCTCAAGGCTATACGGGGTCGCTTTGTCTTTGATGATGACGCATGGCGATATTGTTATCATCACTGCACATAGTTTAATAAGCACGCTTCATCCAGTGGATAGATCACTTGCCACCGCTCATGGCTGTTCTGGATAAAGCGTTCTGATTGGTCAGACATGTCGGGCAGGGCAGTCACCGCACATCGGTGTGTATGTTGAACTTTTTTCGCACCGTACGTAGCCAACCGCGCTATTGTGAGCCCCATAGCCTTGATAAGAAACGCCAATCGGAGGCGCGGGAGCAGTGGTCGCTGTTCGAGTGCGTGCAGGTGTCTGGGATGGTCGTCGTGGTCGGGAACGAGTGCGCAGGCCGGGCAAGGGCATTGCAGTGGTCTCCACGAGTCCGTTGACCAAGAAGGTGATCAAAGAGCAGATGGTGGGAGATGGATGGTCAGGGCAGATCTCGTAAGTCGCCACGTGTGTGTCGACCGTGCAGCAGCCGTGGGATGTGTCAGAGCTGCGAGGTGGTGAACAACGCCTTTGGCCATGATGGCAGCTTGAACTTGAACTTCATCCCAAACACCAATTATTTTATCTCCGTGACCCCACTAACTCTCACTCATTCACTCCCCCCCCCCCCTTCCCCACCCTGTGACTCCCCCAATTCGTTATTGTACTCATGTTGCTTTAACAAAGTCGTTCATTAACTTGTGCATTCCGTGTGTCCGTGCGTCCTGCAGAAGCCGCGCAATATCGCGTAGCCAGGGAAGATTGGTGCCGCAGATAAAGCGTCCCCCGAGCAAGGGTTTTTGTGTCTGGATATGGTGGAGAATTCAGAGCGCCGAGACGACGCGAAGTTTTGCTGCGATCAAAAGAGTCGCGAGCCTCTCTGGATGGCGGGGACATTCTTCTTCCTTGCCCTGTCCGTGGCGCTTGCCGCGGCGCTGGGGTCAAAGGCCGTCTGCGCAAAGCAAGGTGAATGAAGTGGTGACGGTGGTGGTGATGGTGATGGTGGTGGTGACGGTGGTGACGGTGGTAGTGGTGACGGTGACGGTGGTGGTGATGGTGATGGGGGGAGCGGTGGCGTAGCGGTTAGCGCACTGCGCTACAAACCCGGCGACCCGGGTTCGATTCCCACCTACGGCCACCACCAGTGACGATTATTTGAACCGGTCCTGGGCCTCCCCTAGGTCGACTCAGCCTCAAATTAGTTCCTGGTGCGGTGTGTAAACATCGCCACAAGAGAGACAAAGGCGACCGGGCGTGGCCTTCATAGATGCTCGCTAACAGCACTTGCCCCTACAGTCTGTTCCGGCTATATGGGGGGATCTTGTCTTTGGTGGTGGTAGTAGTATCGGTGGCGGTGGTGATGATGGTCTGACACAAACTCCACCTCCTCGTTGCACCAGATGCCAACACGGCAGTGTGTGTTGTAAGCAATGCCCTTGGCTAAAAGGGATGACATTAGTCGACCAGGAGCTGCGTCAGAGGTCCAGGAAGGGACACGCGACCCATGACATCCCCTGGCCACACACTCCAGGAACAACAGGCACTTGCCATGAGTGGCCAGGTGGAATGTGTGAATACCTGTTGGGGAGGAAGAAAGATGCCATTCCTCTATTGCAAGCTGCACTACGACCGTACACTTCTCTGCGGTGTACAGAAGGTCCGGTGGACTGGTTCTGGCTCCTGTCAAGAGGCATGGACAGTTCTCTACTTGCGTCAGTGGCTCCTCTTTTTCTTCGTATTGCAAGGATAAAGGAGGGCCTGGGAACAGCGCGGTGTGGGAGGCCGTGAGTGCAGGACTCGCCTTCTCATCAGTAGGTGTGGAATAGTGGTGATGGTGGTGGCGTGGAGGGATGTGAGGCAAGGCTGAGGAGTCCTCGATGACCTCCTGTCCCAGGTGCTGGCTAAAGTGGTCCCTTCGAGTAGAATCATCCTGTTGGGGTGACGTTAATGCCCGAGTGGGTCATGATGCTAGAACTTGAGCCGGGGTGAAGGCATGGGCCAGATTATCTCACGAATAATGGTAAAAAGTTCAGCCTATGGGCTTGCAATGACCAAGACACTGCTCCATCACCAGCACATCAACCCAACACCTTTGGTGGATGTGTGATGTGAGAAAGACGTCTGCAAGAAGGGGGTGATGGTGATGATGACAATGGTAGTGATGATGGCCATGTTTCTTCTCCCCACCCCCCGCCCGCTCAGCCTCTGTGGATGTCTGCACGAGTTTCCCGTGTCCCGACTCCTGCGACAAAACCCTCAAGCCCTGCAATGGGCTGATCTTCGAGGAGCTCTGGAATCAATTAAACCTGGACACCTGGGAGCACGAGATCACCGCGGGAGGCGGAGGCGTGCATATCCGCACCTCTAACCCCTGACTCTGACATCTCAACCTTTGACCCCCAACCCTGATGCTGAGCCGAGGTCATTACCGTGACCTCTAACTCTTCTCACTAAATTTCGATTTAAAGCTTTCGTGACTGCAGGGATTCATCTTCTTGGTTCTTTCGGTAAAGTAAAAAAAGAACCAAGAAGATCTTCTCACTAACTTATAACCCTGATTTCTATTAACCTCGACTTGAACCCTGATCCATTTTTGTTGACCTTAAACCGTGACCCAGTCTTCTAACGATGACGTAACCTCTGATTTTTTTAACCCCTCATACTTGTCCCTAAGCCGGATACTAACCTGACGCCTGCGTGTCTAATTGTGACCCTGAGCCGACCCAGACCCTCACCAGAAACCTATCCCAAACTTCTTTCATGTGAAAAAGCATTTCATTATAGGAATCATCTGATACCTATCCCACCGCCACCACTACCACCACCACCACCACCATGTCATCACCATTTTAACCACCACTTACTGCTGTGATGCCGTGGTGGTTTTTCTTTGGCTGTGTTGTGGTTTGCAGTTGTGCCACGGTTGTATTCGTGGTGGTTTCCTGGTTGTGGTTTTCCTTGGTTATTTTTGTGTTTGTATCTTGGTTGTGGCTGTAGTTATTCCTGTGGTTGTGTTGATGGTCGTATGGTTGTGACTATTCTTGTGGTTATTCTTGTGGTTGTTGCATGGTTGTGGTTATTCTTGTGGTGGTTATTTTTGTGATGGTTGTGTTTATTTCTGTGGTTGTGGTTGTGGTTATTCTTGTGGTGGTTTTGGTTATTCTTGTGGTTGTTGGATGGTTGTGGCTATTCTTGTGGTGGTTTTTTTTGTGATGGTTGTGTTTATTTCTGTGGTTGTGGTTATTGTTGTGGTCATTTTTTTGGTGGTTGTGTTTATTCCTACGGGTGTGGTTATCGTTGTGGTTGTTGCGTGGTGGTGGTGGTTGCGATGATTCCCGTGTTGGTGGTTGTCTCTCTGTAGGACTGGGAGTTCCAGCACTACACCAACAACCGCAGCAACAGCTACGTGCGCGACGGGACTCTGTTCATCCGCCCCACGCTCACGGAGGAAACCTACAACGAGGACTTTGTGCGCACCGGCACCCTCAACATCTGGGGTGAGGGTTCGAGCACTGTGTGTGTGTGGGGGGGGCAACGCCCATCTCCTTGTGATTGGAGACGGTAACACCGCGTTGAATTGTGAATGCCTGCACTGCCATTTGAGGTGAAAGGCTGAAAGGCTGACGTTAGTCATGGCGTGCTCGCATCCATCACAGTGGTAATTGTGGGTGCGCTGGACGGGAGCGAATAGCTGGCAATTCCTCCACCTTCAGCTTCATTACCAAAAAGACCACAGGATAGCCGTGAAATAAAGAACATACTGAAGGCCCCGTGGGGACCAAATTCCGTGCCATCTCCTGGATAAATCCCCACACGGCAAAGACAGGGATCTGAAAACCCACCTTGGGGAGCCTCCACAAACAAATGGGACAACACTGCGATTGGCAACGTGGAATGTCTGATGCTGGCCGGCGGGGAGAGGCTGCCGTTCCTCTGTCGGGAGCTGGACCTGTATTGCATTAGACGGGTATGGAATACAGGAGGTCCGGTGTGTTGTCGTGTGTGTGTGTGAGAGAGAGCTGTACTCCCTTGTGCCGAGTATTGTACACGCCGCATCAGCTGCTCATTTAAGGTCTAGTTGACTCTGCGTGTACTCGCACGCGCGCACCCGTACGCAGGCTCGACCCCGGCCGACACGTGCACGGACAACGCGTTCTACGGCTGCGAGCGCTCCGGGAAAGTGGGCAGCTTTGTGGTGAACCCGGTGCAGTCGGCGCGCCTGCGCACCGTCCACTCGTTCGCCTTCACCTACGGGTGCGTCGAGGTGACCGCCAAGATGCCCACGGGCGACTGGCTGTGGCCGGGTGAGCGATGGCGCCCCTACAATGAGACACAGTGCACGCAGACGCCCTGCACACATCGAGAATCATCGGGCAGTTTATAGAAATGCGAAGATGTCCCCCAGCCTCGCGCCTTCTTTAACAGGGGGTGTACGGTAGCCATCGACATTTCTTAGTTCTTAAGTTATTGATGACTTCTGGGGTAGATGCCGTGGCTTTTTGTGTGTGTGGATGTTGTGACTGCTCGCGACTCTCTCTGCTGTGTAGCGATCTGGTTGATGCCCAAGAGGAACGCGTACGGGAATTGGCCCAGCTCCGGTTTGATCAACATCGTGGAGTCCCGAGGTGAGGTGCAGCAGTACAAGTCTGGCCTACAGCTCGGACAGGGGTGGAGTCTGTCTCTGTTTGGGTTGGGTTCAGTTCAGTGTGGGCCTGCTCTGGTTCCGTACCAGATCCGGTCTTATCTCGGGATAAGATGGGTTTGGTCTGGGTGTGGGTCTTTGGTCGGGTTTGGTCTGGGTTTGGTCTGGGTCTGGGTTTAGGATTGGGTCTGGTTCTAGGTCTGTGTTTGGTTTGGGTCTGGGTTTGGTCTCGGTTTGGTCAGGGTCTGGTTCTAGGTTTTGGTTTGCTCTGGGTCTGGGCTTAGGTCTGGGTTTATTCTGCGTTTAGGCCTGCATGTGGAATGGGTCTGCGTCTGGGTCTGGATGTAGTCTGGACTGGACCGGACCGGACTGGGTGTCAATGACTGTCCCCACGCGGTGCAGGGAACGTGTATCTGAAGGACGCGCAGGGAGTGTCTCACGGGGTGGACGAGATGGGGTCCATCCTCCACTGGGGACCCTACCCCGACCTCAACTCGTGGTGGAGGACTTACGTGACAAAGTGAGGGGCACCCGAGGGGACAGTCCACAGACCTCGATTCTACCACCGCCACCACAAGAACAACTACAGCAATAATTAACACCACATCGACCACACCCACCACAACAACAACAACCAACACAGCCATCACCGTGACTCCCGACAATTACGGAATTATCAATCACCAAAAAACCAAACTTAACCACCATAACTACAGTGACTGCAGCATCCAACCACAATGGTCATCACGGTGACCGCAACAAGCACATGATCAACCACCCTAGATCCACAGAAACCCAAACAATCACCAATTGATATCAACATCATCCACAACAACCACTACAACACAACAATCACAACTACAACATCATCCACCATACAAGGACCCGAACTACAATCGCACCACAGCCACCACAATGACGACATACACCACAAGAATCTCAACAACCACCACCCTCACTCCCCTGCAACTCCCACCCCCTCCTCTCTCCTCCTTTCCCCTCCCCTCCCCACAGGCATGCGACACAGGGGACATTCGGAACTGGATTTCACAAATACGGGATGGAGTGGACACCAGACTACATCAGGTATCAGCATCATCAGCTGCAACATCTTCGCCAGTAGCAGCAGCACTTTCAGTTCCACCAACTCAACCATCCTCATGGCCATCATCCGTCCCACCAACAATTACCAACACCACCATTGCCATCATCACGCCAACCACCTTGCAAACCATCACCGACATCATCACCATCCCGAGTGGCCACATCTGGAACCTCCCGGGTGCTTACGAGTTGCTCCTAGGTTTCTCGGCATCTTTGCAGGCGACTGGTTTGTGGTTCCAGGTTCCTGCTGGACGGTCAAGAGATCCTAAAGGTGGACCCTGGTGCGGGTGGCTTCTGGGAATTTGGGAAGTTCCCGGCGTACTTGGATAACCCGTGGAAGGGGCGGGGAAAGATGGCCCCCTTCGATCTGGAGGTGAGGATAAGGACCTGGGACGAAAGGGGAAAGGGTCTGATTCCTAAACTAAACAATTTTTTTTTATTTTACCAGGTAAGGCCCTCTGAGCTACGTAGCTCTTTTTGAGAAGTGACCTGGCCACAAATGATAGCTCAACGAAGTGGCTTATTTGGACATTTATAGCAGTCCAATGCTATAAATGCGTGATGTTGATTATAAATGTGGAAGGAAAACCTACAGGACCCAGAGACCAATCCACGCGACCACCACGGGGAGAGTGAACACGCAAACTCCAAATATACAGCAGGTGACAGGGTCAGGATCAAACCCACGACCTCCTGCATACATGGCGAGGTAGTAAACATCTCGCCACCGATCCAGGCATCTGGAGCCTGGAGCTTAGATCAAGGAACTGGATTCTGAAACGTTGATCCTGGGATCATGGTTCACAGACCTGAGGTCTAAGGAATGGGAACTGGACCCTGGACATGATAGCTAAGGTTTGGGCTCTGAGACTGGGACCGTGGCATCTGGAATGTTTGGATCCTGGGATCTGGATCTTGGAAAGTTGAACCTGAGGCATAGAGTGATGGAACTGATGCCATTTCTAAACATGTCCTTAAATTTCCATTTTTAACTGTCAAAAGTTTCACCTCTTGTTGGACTCTCCCATCACCCACCATGGCTCTCCCAGCCTCAAACCCGCACCTCCGATTAGCACGGTTGGCTACGTACAGTGCGAAATAAGTTCAACACAAATACACATACAAACCCTGCCTACCGTCCACCAACGCCAAACCCCAAACATCACGTTTGACACTTTTTAATCTCAACTCGACCTTGGGCCTATCCTTCTCTGCACGCGTCGCCGCTGTGAACGTGAACATCCATTGCCCGCGATTCAACGCACCCCGTCTTCGCCACCTTCCCGACGCTCTTGGAATGGGCAGCGGTCATTTGCCCGGTATCGTTGTAGGGTTTTTGTTTTCCTTATTTTCCTCTTCCCACGAGTGAGGCCCGGTATCACGTGATGAGCCAGATCTGGTGAGAGGGGCACCTCAATTTTCTCAGAATTCAGAATTTTAGTTTTTTTTTATCCTGGAGGAATCCGATGAGCTATGAAGCTCTTCTTCACAGATGTTCACTAGGGGCGGGTGAGCAAGTTATAGAAGCGCCTTCTCTCATCCAACTCGTATCCGACCTCCCCCCCTCTCACCCCCAACACTTCCCCGCAGTTCTATCTGATCCTCAATCTGGCCGTTGGGGGCACTGTGAACTTCTTTGACGAGTGGACGAACCGGCCGCACGCAAAGCCCTGGAACAACACTTCTCCCACCGCTATGTTGGACTTCTACAACGCCAAGTACGTGGCTCTCGCGGGTATCACGCGGGTATCACGCGGGTGAGTACCAGCGAGTGTAAGGGTGGGTGGGTACACGCGGTTGTGTGGGTACACGCACGTGTGTGTGTGTTGGTACGTGCGTGTCGGGAGCGGTGGCGTGGCGGTTAGCGTGGTGCGTTACGAACCCGGCGAACCGAGTTTGACTGCCACTCATGGTCAACACCAGAGGTGTGGACTCGAGTCATGTGACTTGGACTCGAGTCAGACTCGAGTCATGAATTTGATGACTTCAGACTCGACTTGGACTTGCATAACAATGACTTTGTCCCACCTCTGAGGTGTGGACTCGAGTCATGTGACTTGGACTCGAGTCAGACTCGAGTCATGAATTTGATGACTTCAGACTCGACTTGGACTTGCATAACAATGACTTTGTCCCACCTCACTCAACACTAGTGATGATTATCTGAAACGATCCTGGGCTTACCCCTAGATCGACTCAGCCTCAAATGAGTACCTGGTTTAGTGTCTAAACATCGCCACGAGGGGGACAAAGGCGGCTGAGCGTGGTGCTTGCCAACCACCCCATCATGTGCCATGCTGGCCTTAATAGGTGCTCGCTAACAACATTTGCGCCAACAGTCTATGCAGGCTACACGGGGGATCTTTGCTTTTGGACTGTGTAGGTTGCCACCTCGCTGCTCCTGTAGGATCTCACTGCACTCATAATATAAGAGGGTGGTAACACTCAAAGCTCCGCGCAGATGGATTCAAGAATCCATCACAGTGTTGCTCTCGCCTGCAAGCCCAAGACTTCAACTCGTGGTAAACCTAAGTAGTCTCCCACCCAAATGCCAACCAGGCTCAACTATGCGTAGTGTTCATTGATCTGGAGAGGCCGGGGGCATTTCCAGGGTGATGTGGTCGTAGGCAGTATCACAAATCAAAGTTGGTTAACTTTTTCCATATTAATTTTCACGTCTTTTATCATCAATAAGCGAAAATAAACTTTTTTTTTATTTTACCAGGTAAGGCCCACTGAGCTACATCACCTTTTTTCAGAAGCGACCTGTCCACAAATGTCAGCTGAACGAAGTGGCTCACCACGTGGAAATGTATAGAGCCAAATATTCTAAACACACGATGTTGATTCTAGACGTGGAGGGGAAAACCCAGAGGACTCGGATAAAAATCCACGCGTCCACAGGGAGAGAGAGAACATGCAAATTCCAAATATATATAATTGACGTCAGGGTCGGGATCAAACCGCCGACCACCTGTACACCAAGCAAGGGAGATAACATCTCACCAAATACAGGTATCGTCAGGGTCGGGATCGAACCCACGACCTCCTGTATACCAGACGAGGTCGTTAGCATCTCATAGCCACCGCGGCGCGGTGTAGCTCCCAATAGTTCTAGATTTGAAGCTTTCGTGACTTTCAAGGATTCACACTCTTAGTTTTTTCGTTAAAGTCACCTAGGTAAAAAATTGAAATTAAAATTAATAAAAATTAAATAATAATTATTATTTTATTTTAATTTTAATTAAAATTAATAATAATAATTATAATTATAATTATTAATTATCATTTTATTTTAATACAAATTAAAAAAATATTAATTATTATTTTATTTTTCTTAATTTTAATTTCAATTTTTTACCTACGTGACTTTACCGAAAAAACTAAGAGTATAGCTCCCAACAGCCTCGGTGAGATGGCGTCTCCTTGTCGGGCTCGCCGTCTCGACGCCTGCGTCTCGTCGTGTCTGCCGCCCCGCAGGTCCCAGTGGCTCCCCACCTGGAAGAGGGAGGTGAGCAACGGCGAGGAGGCGGCGCTGCAAGTGAAGGACATCCGCGTGTGGGCCTACAAGTAGGAGAGCCCTTCTCGTGGAGCTACGCGAGGCTCCACGTGGAGCCATGTGTATCTGTTCAGGAGCCATGTTTGTTTGTTGTAGTACGGAGTTAGACTGATGGCCTTAATCTAAGTTGTCTTGTGGTTGTTGTTGTTGTTTGACTTGCATCCCACTGGGATTTGTTGCACACAGTGTTGGTGTACGGTGCTTTTTCTGCAATATGTTGCTGTCTTTTCTTGGATTTTCTGTTTGCACTTAGTCACATAGTCACTTTAAGATGTTTTCTTGTTCATGTTTTTGTATTTTGTTTGTTGCGGTAGCACCCGATTCAAGAGCCGAATGGCTCACAGGGTTATACCTAATACATGAACTTGAACTTGATGTGGAGCCTCGTCAATCAATGTTTCTTTCCTACACGGAATAGCACGTTTAGTCAGTTACCCAGCAAGTGTGCATGGGAGCCACGTGGAGCCACGTGGAGTCACATGGACCCCTCACAGCAAATACATGATATGCTTCGATTTAAAGCTTTCGTGACTGCAGGGATTCATCTTCTTGGTTCTTTCGGTAAAGTCACGTAGAACGGAAGTAATAAACTAATAAAAATAAAACATAATAAAATAATTCTCACGACGTTTCGGCCACAACGCAAGCAGCCGTCCTCATGTGACTTTACCGAAAGAACCAAGAAGACATGATATGCTTTGTAATGGATCTCATGATAATATTTTGACGTGTATATGCTGTATTGGTGTGGTGTGTGGGGCTATAAGGGCGCGGTAGTGTAGTTGTTAGCACGCAAGCGCTACGCACTCGGGAACCCAGGTTCGATTCCCGCTCTGGGCCATCGCCAGTGACGATTATCTGATGTGCAAGCATTGCAACTGGGGAGACAAAGGCGGCCGGGCGTGGTGATGCTGTCCCCACCCATCCCCTTGTGTGCTTTGCTGCCCTTTACAGGTGCACGCTAACAGCACTTGCCCCAACAGTCTGCTTAGGCTATCTGGGGGATCAATATCTTTGGGTGTATGTGCTGGGGATGAGTTCGGATTTTGAAGGACAATTTCGGTTCATTCCAGAACGTTTCCATCGAACAATCGTTGAACGTCGTCTTAGCACCGTACGAGTGGCGGTGACATCATCAGGGTGTTCGTCACGTGCTCCTGTGACGTCACCAGATTCTGGATCATTCCTCAAAAAAATGTTTTTTGCTTTTTTGGATCACCCAGAATTTGCGATGCGTTTGGTATTAGTCACCAAAAAAATTAACCCGTAAAAACAAAGTTTTTCACTATAAATCCTTTATATGCGTGGCGGCTAGAGTCCTCTCGTCCTCTGGCTTGAGATGGCTGCCACCTATGGGTCAGATGATTGCCTGCCACCATTAAGCAATTGGTAATTAAATATAATTTTTTTTTTCCTAAAAAGTGTAAAGTTATGGAATTTTTTTTCACGAAAATAAATTGTCACGCACAACGAGTCTGTGTGGAAAATGTCAGCTCGATTGGATCACGGGAAGTGGGTTAAAAACGACCGAAAGATTTGCACGGTCGTAAGCGCGCAAGCAAGCAAGTAAGTGAACTTAATATGAAGGATTTAAAAAGGACCGGGAACCGGTAAAGGCGATATGAAGATGTGCATATCTCGCGAGCGTTAACCGGCAGTCGCGAACAAACCGTTACGTGCATGCATCATCCGGAATCCCATATTGTAAAACTAGAATCTATAACACTGGTCAACACACTTTTTCTGGCATAAGGTATTCCAAGGGTTTAAGGTAATTTTGGGGTGCTGATTCCAAATCTGGCATCAGTTTTTGTCTATCACATCAGATTTTTGAGATATCAAATATTGCATTTTCAATAAAAACTGCAGAAGAAAAATATTAAATAAATGTGGATATCTACATTAAATGATATTATAAACACACTATCCTAAAAATACAGCACCATATTTTAACACTAAAGCAGTCACTGACTCGCAACAACTTGCAATCATAAGTGGCAGAGTTAATTTCGGGTAAAATCAATGAAAATGGGGTATGCCGATAGCATAAAATGAGATGTGATAGAGCAAATCTGAGATCAGATTTGGAATCGGCACCCTGAAATTAGTCTAGAACAGCCGCAAAAGTCCAGGCCAGAAAAAACGTTTTTTTGTTGTTGACCAGTGTAAAACAAGGTGTCCATAAAGTCCCGAATCTATTTGATTAAACTGATGGTTTATATTTTGATATGTTTCTTTGCAGGACCCTATGAATGAGTGTACAAGAACGTGTGATGGGAGTAACAATAAGATGGGGGGGGGGGGGGCTCCTCTGTGCTTAGGCAAACATCGTGTCGGGAAAACTATCTTGAACGTTTTGCATATCGCTGAATTGGCAACAGGCACCTGGACGCCTCGATCTCTGGGATTTAACGCCTTTGGATGCGCCTTTGGATGCGGTCTTTATCAAGTCAGGAGGGGTTATCGAACATTAGCTACATATCTGCGTGATTGACGAGATCGTACAACAACACCACAAAATAACTACACAGATGCTGCAAAATGTGTTCCGGCGACGCAGCCGACTCGACTTGAGCCGTGCAAGAGATATCAATGCCGCTCGTGTAGAATCCAATGCGCAGGTGTGAATTAATCGATATACCTCTGATTATAGTACAGGGACTCCTCTACGTACGGACGAGTTATGTTCCAGAGGTCTGTTCTTAAGTCGATGTGTTCTCCATGTCCATTCCAAACACGTTGTACGTCGTGTACATTAAACATGGGGAATGGCTTAAACACATTCCTCCTGCAGAGGGAGCTGGTAGGAACGTTGGGTTGCTCGGTCAATGGCCAGGGTCAACAGCGGCGTGGTGAATTCCGCAAATATGCCCGACTGTGAGGGCGGGCACAAGCCGGCGTGAGTAGGTTAAACGTTGAGTTTTATAAGGGCACCACGGGGTGACCAGCCCCTCCCCTCCCCACCCAGCCCCACCCCTCCCAGCCCCACCCTCCCCACCCAGCCCCTCCCTACCCTCCCCACCCAGCCTCTCCCCACCCTCCCCACCTAGCCCCTCGCCACCCTCCCCTCCCCTCCCCTCCCCACCCAGCCTCACCCTCCCCACCAAGCCCCTCCCCACCCTCCCCACCCAGCCTTCGCTGCACGACGGACGGACACAATAATCCTTGTGGGCTGGTGTAACCTGGCGGTTCCTACCAGTAAAAGTTGTATAATCTCATGCAGATGTAGATGCCACTGGTTCTTCACATTTTGCAGATGTAGATGCCATCACCGCCATCTATTGCGCAGCATTTGAACTCTCGGTCCGAACAGGCAACTGGACACACGGACAAGTTAATTCGTATCTCTGAAAGTTCGCCAGTAGGATGTTCGTAAGTAGAGGACCTCCTGTAATTTTTTACCCTAAATTGATTTTAATTTCAATAAAATAGATAGGGACTTTATGGACACCCTGTGTAGTTCTTGCGGTCTTCCCCCCCCCCCTCTCTCTCTCCCGTGTGAGTTTATTGTCTTGAACCTCGACGGACGCCTGCGAGCTGCCATAGTGCGCAAGAGGAAAGAGGAGAATCGGCCGCACGGGGAAACATCTTAAAGTTGTGCAACCAAATCTCCTCCACCCCCCCCCCCCCCCCCCCCCTCTCTCACCCCCCCCCCCCTCTCTCTCTTGAGAAATCGCGCCGTGGTCGCCAGGAGTAATCTCCCTCGCCACCTGGTTTATGCAGGAGGACGTGGGTTCCGATCCAGACCCTGACGCTTGTTGTGTCTTTGTAGTTTTTGTGTTTCTCTCTCCCCGTGGTCGCGTCGGTTTTCTTCGGGTCCTCCGGTTTATTTCCTACTTTTATCTATAGTCAACAACAACAACAGCAGCTCCTTTAGGGTATTTATAGTCAACAGCAGCAGCTCCTTCAGGGTATTTGGCTGCGATACATTTCTACACGATAAGCCACTTCGCTGAGCTTTCATTTGTTATCGCCAGGTCGCTTCTAAACAAACAAAATATGAACCAAACTGTTTTGTATTTTACCAGGTGAGGCCCACTCAGCTATGACATTGCCATGTCGTGCACCACCACGACATGAAAATCACAAATTCATCATCAACATTTCACACCCATCACCACCACCACCACCACCACACCTGATGATGGTTGCTTGTGTTTCAGTCGAAACGTCGTGAGAATTTTTATTGTTTCATATTTATATTATTTTATTACTTCCCTTCTACGTGACATTACCGAAAGAACCAAGAATATGGTTTGGTTAATAGTTTATAAATAGATTATATCTTCATTTGAAGCTTTCGTGACTGCAGAAATCCATACTCGTTGGTTCTTTCGGTAAAGTCACGTAGGTAGAATAAAATAAATCACGACGTTTCGATCGCAACGCAAGCAATCATCATCAGGTGAGACAACTTAGGGTGGATTCTTGCAGTCACGAAAGCTTCAAATCAACTCGTGATTGTCTCACTTGATGACGATTGCTTGCGTTGCGATCGAAACGTCGTGATTTATTTCATTTCTACCTGCGTGACTTTACCGAAAGAACCAAAGTGTATGAATAGTTTATAGTTAATAACAAGTAAATATTACGTCGGAACCGCTGATGATGGGGCTTTGCAGGCCCCTTCCTTGCGTCACCAAAACCTCCTCCCCCCCTCGCACGCCACGACCTTGGCCGTGCGTCCGAGGTGTCAGGGGTGGGGGGAGACGTGGGGTGGGAGCCCCCCCCTCCCTCTCTTTACCCACCTTATCGGTGTCCCTTCACTGACCCATGAATCGGTGCTTTACGAGTTGTTTGTATTGTTGGTCGTAAACCGTCGTGAGAAATTCTGGCTACTCGGGACATTCTCAGTCTGGGTTCGATCCTTGGGTCAGGGTCTGTCTCTCAGGGGCTCGGCTTGTTGACGGTCTTGTTGGAGACGCTGGGCCACCACCCACCACCGCTGATGGTTCGAATCCGGGTTGCGACCGAACAGCTGTGGTTGTCCCCTTGTACTCGAGCGTAGTGAGATGAGGGTCTCAACCCGGTGGGCAATGACTTGCACAGAGATTCATAGACTCACAGGGCGGACTCTAGACCCACAGGAACTATAGACTCACCAGCCCCTCCCCACCCAGCCCCACCTCTCCTACTCAGCCCTCCCCACCCAACCCCTCCCCACCCTCCCCTCCCCTCCCCACCCAGCCCCTCCCTCCCCAACCAGCCCCTCCCTCCACGACGGACGGACACAATAATCCCCTGTGGGCTGAGGTAACCAAGAGGTTCCTACCAGTATAAGTGTAATAAAAGACTCGACCACGATGTCTGGCTTGGTGTCCTTTATTCGGTTCGTTTGCTGTCTCCCACACGGCTGTCCTCCTTTGAGACTTTCCACACGGTGCCGACACTGTTGTTACACCCGTCACCGCTAACAGCTCCGCTGTTGATCTCCGCCGTTCCCGTAGCCTCTTAGCAGCCTCGCTGCTGTTACCCTCACGCAGCCCCCTGGCTGTACTCGCTGCAGCTTCTCCTTGTGTCGCTCCCGTAGCCTCGGACAGCCTCGCGGCTGTTTCCCTGTCGCTCCTGTAGCTCCTAGCAGCCTTGCTGCTGTCTCCCATACACAGCCTCCCCGGCTATACTCGCTGCAGCTCCTCAACCGCTCTCTCTCTCCAGCAGCCCCACTGCTGTCTCCTCCCGCAGCTCTGCTGTTGCTCCCTTAGTTGGTCACCGCTGGCCGACGGCGCCACTCTCCCCTAGCTTCGCCCTACGTGGCCTTACCCTTGCTCAGTCTCCCACTCTCTCCCGTCTCCTTCCGGTTTCCTCCCCTAAGGACCCGAACCTTGCTCCCACGTCACATAACTCCACCTCCTCGTGACGTCATATCCGGGAGGTCGCTCGCGCCCGCATTACACCACCCTCCCCCGTAGAGAAAAACCCAGCCGACCTCGGCTGAACAATACCAACCAACAGTAATGCGGGCGAAACCGACCTTGACACACCAAAGGACACCAAGCATGCAATATAACAGTATAACAGTAACAGTAAGTAACAGTAAGAACAATCAACACATCATAACAATCAACGAACGTACAAGAAGCAGGCAATAAATATAACAGTAAGAACAACAATGCAACATAACAATCAACGAAACACAAGGGATTTAGAACGTGTGCGGGTCGCCGGCCCGTCCCGGACGGTCGGCGGCCCATCCGCAGAGCGGGAACGTGACGGAGGTCGAGGAGTGACAGGGCGTAATCCTGTCGATGTTGGAGGTCCACCAACGTCCCGTGTCCCTGCAGAATTAGCCCCGGACGTGTCCCGCGACTGTGCCTGCAACGGGGTCGGAAGGGCCGCAGAGCCCGGAGCTCCCGCAGTCCTGGCAGGCACCCTCCGAGCAGGGCTCTTCGTCACCTGCGGCGTCACGGCCGGTCTGTCTGTTTCGGAGGTTCCTTGGTCGGCTTGTCCGTTGATGAGGCCTCCTGTTGCGGCGGACCCGGGATGCGGGCCCAGCAGTCCTTTGCGTAGTGGCCCTTCCGCCCGCAGCGGAAGCATTCGGCGTCGTTGCGCCGAAGCGCAGGCCTTGTATCCCGCCGGCCCCGTGCCGGTGGTGCAGCGTGCGGGCCCGGCCCGCCGCGTCCCGACCATGGACCGGAGGCGGCCGTCAGCTCCTGAGGGCCCCCCCCATTCGGCACGTAGACCGCCTTCGTAGGGTCCCAACCCAGAGCACCACCCTCTGCG